CAACTCCCAGAATTCTCCAGCCAGCCATACTGGCTGGGGAATTCTGGGAGTTGAAGTCCACTCATCTTAAAGTCACCAAGTTTGGGCAACACTGTTTTCTAACATAAATATGTTTAAACTGTTGGGAAGTGGATCATCTTCTAGGGCCCCAAAGTGCTCTGTAAAACAGCATCCCCCTCTATACATTATAACCTGGCCCAATAAGAGCTGCTCATAGGATCAGGGATGCCTGTGATGGGAAATGGTTTGGCTGAGCCTGGAAAGGAATGCCTTGCAGGCCCTTCCTTCCCTGCTGCTTTTAAATGACCCTACCTGTTTGTGCTGACAAAGTTTATATAGCTAAAAGGGAGAATTTACAGGCTACTTCTGTATGTGTGTGAATGAGCAAAGTTGGAAGATGTGGGAGGTGAAAAATGGTTTTGCTTACCATTTGAAGCTTACTGAACGGAGAAAGTAAAAGGAGCATTGGTCTTTAGAACATAAGCTGGAAAGGATGGAAGTTAAGCAGATAGAAGCCAGAAGGAAGCAGCAGCCAGCTAGGCATGCCAGATGTTCCAGCAGCTGGAGGAAGTACAGATAAACCAGGAGGACCTGGTGGGAATTAAATGAGTGCAAACCAGGGACAGTCCAGCAGCATCAGGCTTTGAAAGAGGCTTATCAGCAGGCTTGGGGTTGGAAATGGTCCAGCAGATGAGGGCTAGTAAGAGACCTTGGAGCTGTACAAGGCAGAGAGTCAGGCCACTCAAAAGGCTCTGTGACAGACTGCATGGCCCTCTAAGAGCCCCTGAAGAAAGGCCTTCCAGAGAGACCACAGCAACAGATGACACAAAACAGGTCCAGCAGTGGAGAATGACTGCCAACTCTAGGCAGGCTGAGCCTCATTGGGGAGGCTTCCTGAGAGAGGGTGATACAAAGATTTATAATCCTAGCACATCTGGAGGATATGAGGTTAGAAAAGGCTACTTTTCTGGGTGAAACTGTCCTGACATACAGTACTGTGCAAAAGTTTTAGGCAGGTGTGAAAAAATG